CCCCCCCCCCACCCTGCACTGTCAAACTATTTCCACCTCCTCTTCCAGACCTCTGAAAGAGGACTTCAAGGACTTCAAGGCTTAAGGACTTCAAGGCTTAAAGGACTTCAAGGCTCGGTCTTCAGTCCTTTTCTCTAACTGCCTCCTGCCCCTGCTCATGATCTCATTAAGTCCTGTGGCCCTATGTGCTGCTGACCTCCAAATTTACACCTCCAGGCCAGCCCTTATCTCTGAATTCCAGGCTATTATATCCAATTACCTTTTAGATATCTACCAGAAACCTCAAACTTAGTAAGTGCAAAGAGAACTGTCCCAAAACTTAAACGACTTGGTAAATATCATGTACCCAACAGCTCAAATCAGACACCTACAAGTCTTCCTTGATCCCTCACTTTTCTATACTTTTTGGATTCAATCCCCCCCCAAATGCTGTTAATTCTACTTGCAAAAGGGAAACTGAATCTGTCTTCTTCTTTACACCTCCACCCTGACTACAGTCACCGTGACTATGGTCACTTGGACAGCTGCAATGACTGAATTGCTGGTCCCTGGTTAACTTCTTTTTTTTTTGAGATAGAGTTTTATTTTGTCGCCCTCGGCAGAGGGCTGTGGCATCACAGATCCCAGCAACCTCCAACTCTTGGGCTTAAGTGATTCTCTTGCCTCAGCCTCCAGAGTAGCTGGGACAAAAGGTGCCCGCCACAATGCCCGGCTACTTTTTGTTGCAGTTGCCACAGCTGTTTTTAGCTGGCTGGGGCTGGGTCTGAACCTGCCACTCTCAGTATATGGGGCCGGCATCTTACCCACTGAGCCACAGGTGCCACTCTTTTTTTTTTGAGACATTGTCTCACTGTGTCACCTTTGGTAGAGTGCCATGGTATCTCAGCTCACAGCAACCTCAAACTCTTGGGCTTAAATGATTCTCTTGCCTCAGTCCCCTGAGTAGCTGGGACTACAGACACTCGCCACAATGCTCGGCTATTTTTTGTTATAGTTGCCATTGTTGTTTGACAGGCGCAGGCTGGGTCTGAACCTGCCAGACCCAATGTATGTGGCTGGTGCCCTAGCCACTGAGCTACAGGCACGAAGCCCCTGGTTAACTCTTGACCTCCTCAAGTCCAAATTTCACCTGTAAGTCTGAGTTATCATTAAAAACATAAATCAGGGCAGCGCCTGTGCCTCAGTGAGTAGGGCAACAGCCCCACATACCAAGAGTGGCAGGCTCAGACCACGCCCCGCCCAAACCCCAACAAAAAAATAGACGAGGGCGTTGTGGCAAGTGCCTATAGTCCTAGCTACTCAAGAGGCTGAGGTAAGAGAATCACCTAAGTCCAGGAGTTGGAGGTTGCTATGAGCTGTGTGACGCTGCCCTGGCACTCTATTGAAGGGTGACAAAGTGAGACTCTGTCTCTAAAAAAAAAAACCAAAAAAAAAAAAAAATCCACAAATCAGATGTCAATTCTCTCCAGTTTAGATTCCTAAAGTGGCATTCCACGGTGATGACAAGACAAAATCCTGCTACCCCTACCCACTTTTTTCCTTCACTCATGCTTCAGTTCACTGACATTTTTGCTTCTCTGGAACATTCCAAACACTCTTACCTCTAGGCTATTCACTGACCTTGATAGTCCTCATTTTATAAGGTCTTTCCCCAGCTTCATGAACACATTACCATCCTTCAAGTCCAAGCTCAAAAAGTCCCACCTCATGCCAGGCATGGAGGCTCACCCCTGTAATCCTAACACTCTAGACAGCTGAGGCAGGTGGACCGCTTGAGCTCAGGGTTTCCAGACCAGCGTTGAGCTAGAGCAAACCTTATCTCTAAAACTAGCTGGGCACTGTGGTGGGCACCTGTAGTCCTAGCTACGTAGGAGGCTAAGGTGGGAGAATCACTTGAACCCAGGAGTTTAAGGTTGCAGTGAGCTATGATGGCACAGCACTCTAGTGAGGGTGACAAAGTGAGACCTGGTTAATCTTGCTCATCAGTCTACAGTCATATTCTGTAGGTCATACTCTGTATGGTATTACATACCATATTCTGTAATATGTCATTACATACTGTTTATTGCTATCATTTTGTTTATTGCTTACTACCCCCACTAGCAGGGTGATAAGAGCAGGAATAATGTCTATCTTGTTCTCAGATACAACCCTGGTGTCTAGCACAAAACAGGTACCCAATAGACACTTGAATGAGTAATTAAAATACTTTTAAAAACCCTACAAGACTGACCACTTGGGCTCGGCGCTCATAGCTCAGTGGATAGGGCACCGGCCACATACACTGAGGCAGGCAGGTTTGAACCTGGCCGGGGCCTGCTAAACAAGTGTAACAAAAAAAAAAATAGCTGGGCGTTGTGACTGGCCCCTATAGTCCCAGCTACTTGGGGAAGCTGAGATAAGAGAATCACTTAAACCCAAGAGTTTGAGGTTGCTGTGAGCTGTGATGCCACAGCACTCTACCAAGGGTGACACAGTGAGACTCTGTCTCAAAAAAAAAGACTGCTCGCTTGAAATGATCAGCAGTAAACCAGATTAACTACAGCAGAACAAAGCATGAAAGGGACAGAAGGAGGTCTCGGTGCCCATAGCACAGTAGTCCTATATACGGAGGGTGGCAGGTTCAAACCCAGCCCTGGCCAAACTGCAACAAAAAAATAGTTGGGCGTTGTGGTGGGTGCCTGTAGTCCCAGCTACTCAGGAGGCTGAGGGAAGAGAATCATTTAAGCCCAAGAGTTTGAGGTTGCTGTGAACTGCGATGCCATGGCAGTCTACCAAGGGTGACATACTGAAACTCTATTCAGGAGTCCTCAAACTTTTTAAACAGGGGGCCAGTTCACTATCCCGCAGACCGTTGGAGGGCCAGATGAGCTGGGACGAGTCGGCTGCTAAGTAGGACGGGCAGCAGTGGCAAAAACACCTGGCAGGCTGGATAAATGTCCTAGGTAGGCTGCATGTGGCCTGCAGGCTGTAGTTTGAGGATGCCTGCTCTATCTCAAAAAAAAAAAAAAAAAAAAAAAGACTCTCAGCCGCATGCTGTTCAATATGAAACTAGAGAACCGGATAGTAATAATTTTTCACTTCCTGTGCTGAACAGCCAGGACTCACTGCTTCTTTCAACTTTACCACTCCTGAAGAAGGAGAAAGGCTCTAATAAGGACTTACCAGCCATCACAGGGTAGTTGAAGTGTTCTGCTGCTGGATCTAGGTTTACAACTTGGACTGACCTGTTGAGGGCTTCACAGTGCTGGACCATGGTGGCACAATAGGTGCTCTGTAATGTCACAAGGCATGGGAGATTAGAACAAGAGATAGTGTGCTATGCCTTCATCAACCACGAGGCTGACTGAAAATCAGGGAGAAAGATGGTGGGCCAGGAGTAAGGACACCTGATTGCACTGCAAATCGAAACCTGGCTTAGACTCAGGGGTAACTCTGAAGAAGCTGCTCCTCTACTCTGACCTTTAAATTTCCTGTCTTTAAACGGAATGTCCTCTGTGATCACTAAGGCTCCTTACTGCTCTAAAGTGTGACAAGACAGGCATGGTAGCTCATCCCTATACTCCCAGCACTTTTATTTATTTACTTTTTTGAGACAGAGTCTTACCCTGTTGCCCTGGGTAGAGTGCCATGGCATCATAGCTTTCAACAACCTCAAACTCCTCAGCTCAAGAGTTCTTCTTGCTTCAAATAGCTGGGACCCTAGGCACCTGCCACAATGCCCAGCTAGTTTTCCTATTTTTAGTAAAGATGAGGTCTTGCTCTTGCTCAGGCTGGTCTTGAACTCCTGAGTTCAGGTTATCAACCCACCTTGGCCTCCTAGAGTGCTAGGATTATAGGTGTGAGCTACTGGCAACATATTGAGACCCTGTCTCTACAAAAAATTTAAACATTAGCCAAGATGAAAAAAAAAAAATTAGACTCGGCACCCAGCACCAGCCACATACACCGAGGCTGGTCGGTTTGAACACAGTGGGGCCAGCTAAACAATGACAACTGGAAAAAAAAAAAAAAAGAATATACGGGCATTGTGGCAGGCGACTGTAGTCCCAGCTACTTGGGAGGCTGAGGCAAGAGAATCACTTAAGCCCAAGAGTTTGAGGTTGCTGTGAGCTGTGACATCACAGCACTCTACCAA